GGGGGGGGGGGGGATGACTGTTCCCAGTGCGCTAGGCACTGATGAGAAAGAATCTAACAAGGGCTTTGTGATGAAAACATGGGATGGATGGGTGGATGGATGGATGGATGGATGGATGATTGCATTGGAGACTTTGAGAAATTGAAATTGTCTCCTTGGAGTCTCCTGAACCTGGAAGGCTCAGAGAATGGAGCACTGGCAGAGCTGCTGCAGCCAGACCTGCGGAGGGCAGGTCCAATGTGCCTGTGAAAAGCAGGTCTCCTGGCCAGGGGAAGTGCTCAGAAAGTGTGGACAGTTCCCAAGGGCCCCTGTGTCACCTTCTGGGATTGTTCATGGATCCAGATGTCTTGTTGATGCCCGCAGTTGGGGGCGACGTGGCCTCCCTGCTTCATATGTGATCTCCTAGGTACCTTCTCAGGGGGTGGGGTGAGGGGGCTCCCTTCTCAGCCTGTGGTCCCTGCACCCCTGGGAGAGGCTAATGTTGTTTTGCACAATCTGGGCTCCATGGAAACTGCCCAGACTCAGTTAATTCCACTTCCTTTGCTTTAAGCAGACCAGGTTTATGGGAACCTTTGGGATCACAGTTCAGGTGAAAATACCGGTTGGCCTTGGTTTGCCCGCGTACTGTGCTGGCCGAGAGCCTCACCGTCACTGTTTCATGTAGTGAGCGAACGCTGCTCGGTGTAGCCTTGGGAAGTCCTGGGCAGATGAGAAACTAGGGGCCTGGAAATGCCTCTCCACGAGAAGCAGGGCTGTGACAAGGCCCGGTGCTGAGCCCGGATAGACTTTATACCTTGGACAAATCTCCCAGCATCCCTGAGCCTCAGTTTCCTCATCTGAAAAGTGGGGGTGGGGATGAAAGTACATCTCCGAGGGCTGGGAAGATGAGAGGGAGGCAGAGCTCAGCCTGGATCCAGCACACAGCAGATGCCCCCAGATGACGGCTGACGGACGTCACTGGGCCCCGGGTTAACAAGCCACCCAAGATTTGCAAAGCTGAGGTGGGTGGCAGAAACACTCCCTGTCCCTCTCTGGGCTGGGCCTCACCCTGCAGAAGCAGCCCTGAGGGTGTGGGCTGGTGTAGGGAGGGGACCCGTGACTACGGGGATGGATCAGTTACCCCACAGCGTGAGGTCTCTGTGCTCTCCAAACTTTTCATCAGGAGTGTTTATTGCTTTGATAATGGGGCAGGGGGTGGGGGCAAAACAG